CCCCCCCCCCTTCGTTCTTACATATCATGAAATTGATTCTACATGAAGGACATGCTTAGCCGCTTAAAGGAATCGGGGCTTACACTGGAGCTAAACAAATGCCGGTTGGTGCATCGAAGCGTTGATGACCTTGGACATGTGACAGACCAAGGCGTGGCCACGGATCAAACGAAGTGTTTGTGACTGAAAAGTATCGACTGCTAAGCTGAACCTCGATAGTTCTTCCTTGAGCCGGCTTCTTTTGCCGACGTCTTGTGAAAGACTTCATGAGCATAGCGGCACCGTTACATCAATTGCTTAATAAAGATGTAAAGTGGGTATAGACCCCTAAAGAGCATTCTAAGAGCTCAGGGTACGACTCGCTAATGCGCCAACTCTAAAATACCCTCAATTCAACCGCGAATTGTTGACATTGACGCACTTGGGGAAAGCATTGACTCAGGTTCAGTACCTCGGCGCTATGCAGCCGATGGCTAACAAAAGCGAGGTATCTTTGTTGCGCCACAAAAAGGGAAATGACTGCGTTAGAGTGGTGTGTGCCTTGCAAGAATTTCGATCCTACATTTATGGACATCGGTTCAGCGTTCGGACTGATCACAACTGTCTCTGTCGGCTGGTTGGAAAGGATAGTCGAACCAGATTTCTTTGTGGAACATAGACCAGATCGAGTGCATGGTAATGTTGACACCTCCCTGTCTCGACAACAGCGGAAACAGTGCCCTGGCTTAGAAAGTGATCAGAATCAAGCTGCCCGTGTAATATTGGAAAGGTGCACAATATTGTCAACAATGGTCCGCCACGACAAGAGAAGAATTGCAGAAAATACAAGACGCAAGTGAGGACACGGGCCAAGTTAAAGTGTGGTTGCAGTTGCAAAATTGGCCTCTGGGATGCCCTTCGAACGGTAGCAGAGAGCTACAAGCGCTGTGGAATCAAAAATCAGTGCTGACGCTACACGCGGGCCTCTTCTTCAGGCAATTCAAAGAACCGCACTCGAAAAACAGCAGACTTCAGCTCGTGGTGCCCAGTATACTGCGGCAGGAAATACTGTCTAGAATGCTTGCCAATCGCGGTGGTAGCTACTTTGACGTTAAAAGAACTCTATCGAGAATGCGCAGAGGCTTTACTGGCCTCAGTTACGCAAAGATGTGCAAATTTTGTGTACGTCCTGTCAGCATCGCAGGGCTCGTAAGCAGCCAGTAAGAACCTGTGAAGGTCTATTACAGCCGTTGGAAGCGGGACATCACCTGCAACATGTTGGAATGGACTTTCTAGGTCAGTCTGAACAGATAGTGTTAGACATCAAGTATATCCTGCCATAATGGATTATTTTACGAAGTAGGTGGAGGCATATGCTCTGCCAAATATGGAAGCTGTGGATGTAGCCAGTTCCGTCACAGAACTTATCTTATCGATACGAAGCGCTAAGCAACCCTCAACAGCAATCAAGGCCGAAGTCTCGAAGTATCAGTGATTACTGAGGCTTGTCTTGGTTATTGAGCTCCATTCGACATTAATAGAACTCGGTCTACGCCATATCATTCACACTGCAATGGCTTGGTAGAAAGGTTCGATCGAATGCTGTTGGATATTCACGGAACGAGTTGCATCAGACAGTCGGAATGCTGGTACGACCTCGTACCTATGGCTGCTCTGGCCTACAACACAAGTGCTTATGAATCCACCAGTATTACGCCATTTATGGCCATGTATAGCAGGGAAGCACGCTTACCAATTGATGTCCTGTATGGTTGTCCTCTGAGCAGCGAAGATTGTTTCTGGACATGTGAACGAACTTCGTCTGCGCCTTGACTAGATCCATTGTTTGGTGCGGCAGAAGCTGACACGATGCCAAATCGCCAGAAAGAATGGTATGACCTAAAGACTGCGGCCGCGCCTTCAGATAAGGTAAGTATATTTGGCTGTCAGTATCTACCGAGGGAAAATTGGCGACGCATTGGGATTAGCGAATTAGCCTTACTAGATCATTAAACAAGTAAATCCTAATGTTTACCGCATGAAACGCATGGGAACTCGAAATAGGAGAGTTGTAGCGCACGAAGGTCGCTTGAAGAAATATTCAAAACGCAGCATGCAGTAGAGCCCAGTCAAACTTTATTCCCGTTCCACAGAAGAAAGCCCAGAAGATAAAAATTTCTGAGATCATCTTCCACGACCAGTAGTAATTCCGCCTGGGAATCTCCGCAAAAGTATACCAACCAACCTGAGAGCCAGAACAATCACGGTCGGAATCTTTCGCCACGGTCAGGTCCGTTCATACCAGAACTCTAGACCATCACATTTGAGGAGGTCATCCATAATACGAACTCGAACTCAACCGAGGTGACTTAAAGACTGTGTATGCAACATATAGGTTTGAAATCTCATTTGTTATCGCCTGGGATAAGCCTTTGACGAAGAAAAGTTGTGTAACACGCGCAACGCAGCGTTGCGAGTTGATACCTTCAACAGTAGCGTTCGTCCCTAATTAGGAACAATGGCCTGGCAGGCGCAGCGAATACATGTGTCCAACACACATTACACATGGAACGACTGCGGCAAAAAGGGTCGTAGCTGTATCGTGCATAAATGACTGGGGAACGACCATTACGGAGGAGCGTGAAACGCCTGAATATCGGTGACCGTATCGCGATTGAAGTAGTGTTCATACTGGCGGTTTGTAGTAGACCTAATGTCCATTGTTAAATAAACATACGTGCAGTCGGTGAAAATGTTGTCAGTAAAGAATGAACGGACGTTATACAGGCAAGAGGAGCACATTTTAAAAAGTCACTAAAAGTCAATTTTTCATGCATCTGTCTGGTCTGTGTTTTTCCTCGTTCTCAGGCGTTATCATAAGTGACGTTTCCTCAGTTCGCTTGTGTGACGTGATTTTCCAGCAGCAGTGGTAAACATGTCGCATTGATATCGTCGCTAATTTTCAGTTGTTTGATAGCCCGACCTTGTGATGACAACCATGGTCGAGATTGTTCACTGACTTAATGTCAATAGTACACTAACGGTGAGAGTTGCTTAGGCAGGGTCACAAATACCAGTTGCCGAAGGTGCCCACGTCGTTGCAAGCTGCCTCCAACGTTGTTTACGTGTTCGTACCGTTCAGTCAACAGTTATTAATATAGAGACATCGCATAAGTCAGGTTTCCAGATTTATATGGTTATACTAACGTACAGCATTGCACTAGATGGTCGATTTTGTGCTTGCTGAACGCTATCACACAAGCTGTGCTGCAGCTTAGCCAGTAAGTCTGCTTTTCTGCTTTCACAAGGTGGATCTCCGCTTGAGTCAAGTGTTTAGGTTTAGTACGACATACGGGCCTCATGGTAATTTGCATGAAGTCCCTTAAGAGTAAGCAGTTTGTTCGACGAGTTGTGGGATTTGGCGCAAACGGATCGTGTGGTTGTGTCCTCATAGTATGCAGATACATCATCTGCAATATTGCGAAGGAAGTGCTGGATGAACTTCACAACAGGACCTGATTTACGGAAAATATTTAAGGATATGGCAATAAAATGGCACTCCATAACTCAAATTTTTGTCGAAATTCAAAATTCATGATAGGCAATTATTCCTGCTGCTCCACTTCGGTATAAATTACGACACGCAATGAATCCAAAATTTTAACTGCAAATTTAATCGTTAGGGTAGAAAATCAAGGTCATTCGTCTTTCTGGCGAAAGGGAAACAGCTAAAAACAAAATATCAACTGTGAAGAGAAAACAGACACATAACTGAACTGTATCAATATGGTATCGTAGTTTTCACTGTTTCATGTTTTCGCCTAGCATGGTAATATCGTGAACGTTTTTGGCTGTTTGTTGATGAGAGACGGTAAAATCAGAGTACCGGTTTGAACAGAACAACGAATCAATTTCATTTTCTAGCGTATGGACGGATTACCATTGGAGAGCATGCATAGCGCTTCCGATCATGCTCGATCGGTCTTCAAGGTGTGACATCAAACAAAATAAAAGAATGACACAGCGTGAAAAGTACCATGAAGTATAATTGCATTTAACCTCAACAGTGTGAAACGCTTCATAGGTTTAGTCCCAGAAAATCTACATCATTTACAAGATTTTCACGAAGGGTACTGACGAGCAGACTTCAAGAAACATCAGACTGCACATTCAAAGGAACATACCGGGTTTAGTAGCAAAAATGGATTTACTACTATGGATCAGTTTCAGGTGGAACGACAAGTAATGCCGAGAAGCAACAAATATTGGCTTTCTCTCTGCCTGGAGTTCGTCGATTTCGAAATGGCTTGCAGGTCATTCTACACCGGGTCCGAAGTAGATTTCCGGAACCGCCAGAGAGAGGCAGTTGAACCTCTCATATCCACCAGAAAGTTGTTCTCTTACCTCCAGGCAGCAGTCTAACCCGTTTAAAACCACAGCATTCAGCTGGAAGTAAGCCGCTGCCTCCGTTCGTTTTCCACATAAATGATCATAAATGGGATTTCCTCAGACCATTGTGCAATGGTGTTTGTAAGTTTTGCCATCATATCCGCAGAGAATCATGTTTTCAGTTTTATTTTTTGGTTGCGTCTGCCGCCAGGTTTACGCATCTTACTCCATTTCTCACAGCGTAGCGTGCCAACAATAAGGTGATGATCGGCTGATAGCTCTGCGCCTCTTTTAACGCGATCATTCATTACTGAGCGTCTTAGGTCAGACGATACGATTATCA